GAGAGACCGGGGAAGGGGGTCAGTTTGGGTTGCCCATCACTGGCTGGGTTTTCAGGCAGAAGGGAGCTTGGATTAGACTCTGAAGGACAGTATGATCTGCAGGGGGCATATGAAAAGGTTCAGAAGTATGAGGGAACATCTCATGGGGTGTTCTGCCTGGAGATTTTTATATTAGCGTGAGATGAGAATGAATAATTTCTGTGGCCAATTTATTGGGAATTTAAACATGTATGAAATTCCAAATCCAGACACCATTGAGGAGCCAGTTCATTGTTAAAAATGAGCAATGTATGTGTGTTGGGGCGAGGGCTGTGCGGTGACAGTCATGGAGTTGGGTACTGTTTGTTCAACTCTGTCACGGTGCCAGATGTAGGGTGCAACGTAGATCATCTTATTTAATTCTCAGTCTCAGGAAGGTATTATTTCCCATTTGCAAATGAGAAAACTAGGCTTAGAAAGGTTAAAATAACTTGTCCAAGGTTCTGAAGTTAATGACAGAGAGAGGGTGACCTAACTTGGGAGGCCAAGCACTTAATTCCTATGCTGTTGAAACAAGCTCAGTGTAGAACATTCCCACAAGACAGAAAAGAACAAAAAAGCAACCGAAATCCTGACTTCCGAAATGGTCATTTTGAGCAAATGTTTTTTCTAGACATCTTTCTGTGGGTATGCATGGCAGTGTGGATGCAGGCTTAGTTGTATTATGTGCTTCTAAGACTTTCCCCAGGCTGAGACCACATGGGAAGTTTTGATTTCCAGTCCGATTTAAAGGCTGGGTGCTGTGGCTTTTGATTGTCACCTGAGCAATTTAGGAGGCTGAGGCAGGAGGATTGAGACCTAGCGAGACCCTGTTTTAAGAAGTAGTTTTGCATACCCCAGGTCATTTTGTGCTTGCATGTTTTATATAATTAACTCTGTACTTTACAGCCTGGTGTTTTTCTCCCCACTTAAAACCGACTTTCTGATTTTTATAAATGGGTGCATAATATTTCATTTTATAACTATCCCCTCATTCACTTAACCAGTCATTTCCAGATCGTCGCAGGTCCTTGAGCAGGGGAATGATTTATTGCATTTACCCCGCCTCCCCCAAACTTCTTAACTAAATCTCTTGCTTTTTTCCTTTTTCCGCAGCACGCTCTTGATGCTGACAATGCCGGAGTCAGTCCCATAGGAAACTCTTCCAACAACAGCAGTCACTGGGACCTTGGAAGTGCCTTTTTCTTTGCTGGAACTGTCATCACCACCATCGGTATCCACTCATTTGTTAATATCTTTTCCTCCTCAGGCCCAGTGTCACATTTAAGCAGTGTGGGCTGCTGGTATTAGGCAAAGCAGAATGAATTTTTTTTTTTCCCAGAATAAAAGGCTATGGAATCTTTAGTTTTGGGGGAAAAAATTAGAAGGTTGGATTAATAAATATGATATGTTCAGTTGAATTCAGATTGCTCATCTGAACTCAAGTCCCTTTTTAAAGGTACTTCTTGTTAAAGTTACATAGGATAGAACCAAAATATTCTACAGCATTTGTTAAGAAAAGCAGTGGTCTCTGTCTCTCTCCTATTTTTCTCACCTTCTCAGAGACAACCATTGTCATCTCTTCCCACTAATTATTTTAATATCCACTTCCATATCGTTAAGTGTCATATTTGCGTGGCCACTGCTGAAATTTTCAGTTTTAGACTTTCTGTTCTGAAAGTTCTTTCTCTCTCCTCGCTCCACTATTGAAGGCTCTCTCCTCCTCCTCCCCCTGTCTTTGCAGTATAGTTCAATTAGGTAGAAATTGAATGTTTGGATTAGTGTTCTGCTTTTTGCAGCTCATCACATGGGGCACTATGATTATTTCTTTCCCGCAGATCTTTTGTCTTAATTTATTTGTGTGTGTCTTTTTATGTGATATGTGGATAGTTTTGTATTTTTTTCTTAGAGGCTAATATTATAATAGCACGATTCATTTATTTATTTATTTATTTATTTATTTTTCCTAAGATTTTTGCCATTGGGTGTGTATGCTTGCTGGAGAGGAGAGAGACAGTGAGAGGGAAAGTGAGAAATTACCCCCATAGCGGGGGTGGCCACACTAGAATCTCCTTTCCTCAATTATTCTCCTTGGATTTTGGGCCTGGAGTGAATTTTAAGCTGCCGGGTCTGGGACTTGAACCACAGTTAGCCACGTGGGAGTTGGGCGCCTTAATCACTACAGTATTATGGGTGGTGACATCTTTCCTTCTTTTCCACCCACAATTTTCGTGGATACTACTTTTTTAATAGTTATTTTTTAAATGATGAAGTATCTTATGCTTCTATTATATGGTTTGCTAATTTTAAATGATAATTTCAGGTTCCTAGCTATTACAAATAATGCAGTTAGTGAACCTACTCAGCATCTCAAGGTTTTCTCCCTCTTCCCCTATTAAGTATTATTCACTCTATCACTGTATATATAAACACCAGGGTATATCATTTATATTCTGTTGTATTATGCTGATACTCACATAGCTCTATAGTTAAATATGATCAGTGTTTATCTCAAGTCCTTCTGTTGTGGTTTTTCTTCCTATCAATGACCTGGCTGAAAGTCATCTTCCAGTAGTTATTTTAAGAATGGTTTGGCCAGGGCCATCAGGTGGCATGCTGGTAAAGGCACTGGACTTCCACATGGATGACCATGGTTCAAGTCCCAGATTTGGTGGCTTGAAAACCATGCTGGGTATATGGGTATGTATGCCCAAACTCCAAAAGGAGTGTGGAGGAGAAGGGATGGTGATGTGGTCGTACCCCTTGAGGGGTGATTTCTTACTTTCCTTCTTACTGTCTCTCTCTTTCTCTCTGGTTAGCTCACACTCCTTATTAGCAAAAACTTAAAGAAAAAAAAAAGAATATCTAGGCCAGGTTGCATGGTGGTTAAGGTGCTGGAGTCCACATAGCCAACTCTATGGTATGAATTCTGGACCCAGACGCTTGAAAATCCATGCCAGGCACTGTGCGTGCAGACCCAGAACCCTGAGAAGAGAATGAAGGAGAAAAGATTGCAGAGTGGCCATTCCCTGTAGAATTGATTTCTTATTTTCCTTTTCTCTCTGTCTCTGTCTCTCTCTCTCTCCAGTGAGTACACATGCCTATGACAAAAGAAACAACACTTACTGAATTTTATTTATTCTTATGCTTATTTTCAATCTGCACTCACCAAAGAGAGACAGAGAGAAGAGAGAGGGAAAGTGAGAAAGCAGGCTGCCAGGTCTGGGACTGGAAAGTTATTACAATAGCAACTGGTTTTCAACAAAACAATTTGGGGAGTCACATTCAAATCATAGCAGGGGAATTCCAACTGTACACATACCATAACATCTTTGTCTGGTATTTATGTTTGTCATTTTCTATCTACGTCTTTTGACTCTTATTTAGCTTTAATTTTGTTAATTTTATCCTCTGATCTGTGTGTGTGTTTCATGAAGCTTCTTCTGCCATGTGCTCCTCCCAATTTTATTTTCATTTTGTGACCTTCAGGGGATTCCCCCCCCTTTCCTATTTCTATCCTTACTTTCATAGCTCACATCTCATCTTCCCCTTTGAACTCAACATTTCTTCCCTGCTTTCTTTCACTTCTGCTTTGTGGGTTCTCTGTGGAGATTAGGAGAAGTGATTATTTCACAGGCCATCACAGTTTTTGTCTGGTTTGGGCACCATTTTTCTAGTAAGCCTCTTCATCCATTGGTAAGTTTTGTTATTCTTTTCGCATTTCTTTTCTTATGGAAGCTTTTTAATTTTGCTGGGCCAGCTTCTTTTTCAAATCCTTGTCCCCAAAGAAACTGGATATTCCTGGACCAGCTCTCTGCCCAATGTTGTTGTGGGGCTGAGGAGAGGAGAACAGAGCGAGGCAGGGTTACCTTCCAGACCTCGCATCCTCAGAGTCTTCGCTTCTGCTCCTTGTTTCTGTTGATAGGGTACTCCCTGCAAATATGGTGCATTTGAGTTACCTTCTGCATAGTCCTACCTTTTCTGTTTTCTGAGCTGGATGATGTTCATGGTGGCTTCTCCTGCCATTCCTCTTCATCCTATAATCACGCTTGGTACAAAGATGTCTCTTTGAAAGCTGAGTGAGACCCTCAGCTTTATATGTGGCCATTTGCTGGCACTTTCCGAGATTTGCCAACTATGGGTACTGTGACCATCCTCTGGACTTTTCTCTATTTTTTTCTCATATAGGTTCTATCCAATAAATCTCAGCTTCTTTGTGTAGTTCTTATACATATGCTGAAATCTATAGATTATATTCCTCTTCTAGTTCTGCTGAAAATGAGTTTGAGGGTTTACTGCCCCCGGGAAATAGCGAAATAGCACTGCAATAAAAATTCTCACTCAGAAGTATGAGACACACAGAGGACTCACCCATCCGTAGCAATGATGAAGAGGCATTGAGAGGCCTCTCTGCCCTCCTGGTGGAGGGATTCCTTCATTAAAACCTGATTATACACTCCAAGAAGAAATTCCTTCCATATTGCTGAGTCCTAGCTGTGCCTTCTAAGAGGTTCTATTCTTCAATGCACAGTTTCAACCATCAGCTTCCTACTGGCATAAGATAGAGAGACACTAAGGATATTTTAGAGGTACAGGTTTTTGTTTTCGTTTTTAGACCTAGGCTTTAGGACCCGCATGGTTTCTAAATTGGTAAGATCAAGGAAGTTATGTGCAGCAAAAACAGTTGGGATCAAAGACAATTGCCATTCTTATTTAGAAAGCCTTTTAATCTATACAGCATAATAGGTTTACACTTGCAAATCTGCAAATAGGTTAACATCACCCACTACAAATATTCAAGGTGTCTATTATCTCATGAGTATGGAGCCTATAAATCCTTTCCGATTGTCCAGACCAGGCCAGGTCACATTAGTCTGCAGTCTCACAGCACCCAATAAGGAAGCAGGATAATCTGGCACCATTTGTCGCAGGGGCAAAGAGTATTCTAAACCTTCACAGTAACCGCGGGCATCACTGTAGTAGATCAGAGAAGACCAGCGTAAGGTTAAAGTGTGTTCAGTACTCTGGACTCTGGTTAAGCTAGAGACACGTGTTATGGATTTTAAGAGGATTGATTGTAAAATAACTAAAACCAAGAAAGTCTGTACTACGTCAAGAGGTACATGTTGGAAAATGCTCTCTAGTACTCAGTATTTGCTCCATGGTATATATTAAGAAGACAGAATAAAAAAACTCCTAGTTTTCTTGTTGCAGGATGTGGCTAAATTAGTGGTCTGTCTACGAAATTGAACAACACCATGGCAGGGATGGCATGTGGTATAATGGTTAAGGCTCTGGATTCCTACATGGCTGACCATGGTTCGAGTCCCAGATTTGGTGGCTTGCTTTCTTACTTCCCTCTTTCTCTCTCTGGTTTGAAAAAAAAAAAAAAGGGAACCAGCAGTTAGTGTAATGGCTATGTCGCTGGATTCCCACGTAGTCGACCGCGGTTCGCGTACCGGACCCGGTGACTTAAAACTCACGCCGGGCGTGTGTGCGTGTGTGCCCAAGATCCCGAGAGGAGCATGGAGGAGAAGGGATTGCAGCGTGACCATCCCCCCTGGGGGGTGATTTCTCGCTTTCTGTCTCTATGTCTCTCTCTGTCTGTCTGGCGAGCGCACGCGCCCTATAGCGAAAATCTCTCAAAAAAAAAAAAAAGTGGTAATAATAATAAATAATTTTTTTTTAATGTTAAATCTCCTTCTATTTACTAGGGTTAGTGTTTTCCCCCATTTTCTTCCCCTTCCCCTTAAGCCAGCCTGCATTGAGTTTCTATTACAGACAATGAAAAAATCTTAATTAATGAACACTTTTGGGCCAGAGCTGTTGGAGGGTTAGTAAGTATCATCTGACCTTCTGGCCTTGCTGGCCACTGTAGCTGCCATCTCCCACCATGTTTGGGCCACATGCTCTTGATTTAAAATCTTAGGCAGAGCCATCCCATTGGATGTGACTCTAGGTTTGTGTGTTCGTATCCTGGCTGCCTGGGAGGTTGTTCTATCTGTAGTGGGAGACAGGGCACTGAGTCTTACCTATTATACAACTATGCGAATTAATAGTACAATAATTATAAAATTATCCCCTCCCCCCACATCAGAAGGACGGCAGATGTGAATGGGAAACTACTACAAAATAAACATGTGAACAAAAACTAACCAAACGGAAACCCAACCCAAAGTACATTTCAGAATCATGGTACAGTGTTAACTAGAACGTGGGTCCTTGTATTCAGTT